TTAGTCCATTTTTGGTTTGTTTTCGACTAAATCTTGATTATCCTTCTTACATTTTTTAGCTAACTTTAATCTACTTTGATGTTTCTGAATTTCTTTGCTAGTGTTTAATGACTTTTAGGCTAACTTTTAATTGTTCTAGGCTATTCTTTGGATTTTTGGACACATTTTTATCCATTTATTTTATTTCAATGCCTTATACTTACACTATTTCTGGGAATGTACTTTTTTTTTACATATTTCACTTTATTATGTAAGCATCTGATGTCGTTACCCTTTAGCTGTGATTGCTATAAGTTTGCTTTTTAATTTACTTTTAGCAATGTCTAGGCCAAAATAGTGAGACAAAATTCTTCAGTTTTAGCTAACGCTGACCCATTTTTCCTTCAAATTTTGCCTAATCTTGTTTGAAATGGTCAGGAGCTGAGCCACTGATGTGTGTAACAGACTGGAATATGTGACACAAATAAAGAACGACTGGAGAACTAATAACGCTGCAGAACAAATGGCACAGTTTTACGACTGGTAGCTAATCCCTGTCACAGTATTCAGTCTGCATCCAATACAACATCGTATAAAAGCCAGCTTCTGTTTGTGTGTGTGTGTGTGTGTTTGTGAAGTTACACTTGACACGTCTTTCTCCTGCTGCAGCAGCATCACATTCCTGCCAACATGATCTAAACAAGGATTATGTGAAGTCATGCTTTATGAAACCTTATACACATTTGTTGATCATTACCTAGAATTACTTTGTGTTAACTTTGGCAGACCTGCTCTTGGCTCCTGCACTGAGAAAAGGGGATGATGTATTTCCTCTTATTTATTATTTGCAGTGGGCTACTGCAAAGAGAGGGAAAGAGTGCGAGTGGCATGCCTGCCTGTGACCGCCGTGGTGGACCGTGCCAGGAATAACAGAATGAAACGTGCTCCTCGGCCTCATTAGTGTGTAGAAAACAGTTCCCAGGAGACATAACAAAATAGAAATCCATTTAAAATTTGTGGCACTGCAGGATGCCATGTGCCAACCTGTCCAGCTTTTTTCTGCATTTGTCCCTCGTGAAATTAAAATATCAACGCACCGAGAGCTGGAGTGAAAAGGCTTCAAAAGGGTTGCAACCCCATGATGCAAGTCTCATAAATTCTACTGAGGGAATTCAAAGAGATATTCATGGAGCATGGCATTCACACATGTTGACTGTAAAGCAGGCCAACCCAGCACTGAGTCTTGGGAATTTGTAGGAGGCACATGGCCCCAATTTTTTATTTTTTTTTTAACTTTGAAACACACGTTTTGACCTCTTGTCTGCTTATGTAATGCCTTTACCCTTTCCATTAAGAAAAAAAGACAGGGGGATATATATTACACCTAAAAGCCTGGAGCAGTTCCCTATTAATCACAGATGTCAGGTCACACTGTTGTAAACATGCAGATATTTATCTATGGATGTGTGTGACCTTGGCTTGGAGTACAGTATGTCATCAATTCTCTTGAAGCAGGTGCATGATGGTCCAAATAAGGCAATGAACTGTATTGTAACATCAATATTCAAGGTTCATTCATCTTTACTATGGTCAAATTTAAACAAGTTATGTTACATACAGAAGTCAGTCATCTTGGTCTATGTACAAGCTAACTTTGTTGTTATTTGGTAGAAGACGCTTGTTTAGCATTAGCTATCAGCAAAGATTCAGTTATTTTGTCATTTTAGTTTATCACAGCTACCTTGTGATGAATGTTTAGCTAATTAATATACTTATACTCAGGCATGTACTTTGACTTATTTAATTACCATTACTAAGCAACATTTGGATATTTCTTTCATTATGTAGCCATCTGTAGCATTCACTGTCTTTTGAACCAATATATTTTAGACTGCTGTTGTGTTAACCACAGAATATTTCCTTATACTGACATATAATAATTCAACTACTTCTGGGAAGCATCCCATTTGTTTCTCATTTTTCCTAATCACTCAGTTCAACCATTTTCTTTCTTTTTGCGAAGCACAGATGACAAATACACAGAGATACATATCAGACCAAGGAGTCAAGATTTCTGCAAATGTATGTGATATAAAAAAGTCACAAAAGTGAAAGACGAAACAGTTATACTACATTAAGCATTTTAAACACTAACTCCAAGACGCATTAAGTACCAAGAACGGCAAGCATTCATATTCATCCAGACTATTACTTAATATTGTGTTTTATTTAAACATATTTCTGTCATCTCTTCTCACCCTGCACTACATTTTCTACACTTCTTTGAAACCTAAGCAGGTGTCCGCAGATTTCGAATGTTGCCAGTTTTATTACATAGGTGCCTGTGGTTCACCTGGGACTGAGAATACAGGACCACACTTTTGGCTCCCCTGCCTATTGACACAGCTGCTAACACAATGTAATGATGGCTGGTGAATATCTGTGCAAACTTACACACACTCCCTGCCAGTCTTTTTTCTGTGCAGTGTCATTAAAAGCTGCCCAGACTCAGCATGATATTGACGTTGGTGGATTAGAGTGCTTTAGTCTTTTGTTGTTGCTGGACTTATGGTGGTTCATTCAGAGGCGGCCTCAGAGGATGCTATTAAATGTGTTTCTCTGCCTTTAGCTGCTGCTGCAGTGATCACCAAAGCAAATCTCTTTAAGTTATTTAAATGTCTGTGTCCTCCTCCTCCTGGGTCAGGAAACAAGACTCTTTATTCAGTTTTCAATTTTATTTCACCAAGACATTACTTTCTGATATTTCGCCAACAAAAAGGTAAATAAAATCAAAATCTTTATTCCCCCTTACACGCATTTTAGTTTTACTGTTTTTGCTTCCTTTAGCCAATTCCATATTGTTTATTTAGTCTAAGTTTTAGTTTTGTTTTTATTTGCCATACTCATTTTTCTAAAGTGAAAAAGTTTAGAACAATGCCTTTTTGTTGATTTTTTAAGACTTTTTTTTAACCTTTCTGAATGCATTTGTGCCTTGTTCAAACCAGAAATACATATTTCTGAGAGCCTGCAATTGGAACAGCAGTTTTCTTCTGACCACACGACTTATTTGTTTAAATCACATAAACAATCCAGAAGCTCTAAATACAGTCTTTATCCCTAATGTAGTCAAAGAGCCTGCTCTGTAGTCGGCCCAAAATGAGTCATTTGCTCATTTCTGTGTTATAGGCCATAGTTCTATTATTTCTTTGTGTCCCTCTGCTGTGCTTCATATAAACATCATCTACCGTAAAGTATATTAGATTATATTAATACCACACTATGCAGAGTCATCTGGTTACTGTAACACTCTCCAGAAAGTCTATTTAGGTCCTGTGTGATGAAGAAAAACTGAGAACAGAGAGTGTGAAAGTAAATAAGAGTTGAGTAGGATAATAAATGGCATCACTGGTAATTTCATCCAGTGCTAGTCTGCAGTGCAGACCCTCCTCTGTATGCTGGGACCTACAGAGATCTGCTGATAACATGGGGATTGATGTAGGCCATTAAGGAGCGTGTGTGCAGCTCTGGAGGGGTGTGTTACATCTGGCGTCCGCAGCAGCACTGTATATCAGCATGTTGTCACCTGGGCTGATGTCACAGCAGGTCCCTCGGCTATGAAAACACACATTTAGTCTTGGGTGGGTGACCGGTGCCAACTCACTCGCTATCCACTAATGTGCTGCTCGTGCCGAAGGGCGAGCTGCTCTGGGTTCACGGCCCTCGACAGATGTAATCCATAACCTAATAGGAATTGCATGTGTGTAACTATAGAGACCTTTCAACAAAACATGGTAATGTGGTGGAGCATGAGGGTAAAATGAAGTGAAGCGAAAATTCCTCCTCGATGAAAACTTTCTGTCATGGCCACGTCATTACGTACAATACCTACAGTTACACATTAGGTTTAGTTTTATATTACAGTACTTCAACATGGGCCGGAACTCTACTACTCATTCTTTCTACAAACTGTAGAAAGGTAAATTACTCTACAGTTTAATTTCACCACACTCGGTTGCTCACAGTTAATATTTCTTTAATATTTTTTTTATACTCCAACCATGAGGTGTTCTGCTTTAATTGGGCTAAAAGGACATTTTCTTACATATAAAAAGATGTGGTATGGAGTCTTGTATGTTATCGTTTTACTGCAAATAATTTCTCTAGTCCGTGACAGTGACTGTGACACGTAGAACAATAAACTCTTCCACTAGGTGGCAGCAGAAGGCTATACAAATTAAATAAAGAAAGGGACTCAGAGCTGTTAAGGCAGATTTTTCCGTTGGCCTTTCTTCAATTTCTTGAAGTATATGAATGTCTTGTTTAACTAAACGGGCCAAAGTTAAATTGTGATTTAACTGAAGTGGAGTTTTTGTAAAGGTAAAATATTTGCCACAGTTCAAAAGGTGAGGAAACACTGCAGCATAGCGTATAATGGAGCTAGAAAATACAGGTGTGGAAGATGAGTAAAAATTATGAAGTTTTGAGTTTAATGTAGTGACCTTTTTGTACATTACTGTCATAGACTAACAACAACATACCTGGGTCTAATAGACTACAATGTGCAGTGTACATAAGTGAGTAAGTTCAATGTATTAAATGTTGGAATAAATCAAGAACTTCATTGCACTTTGTATGTGAATTAGAAATAAAAATGTAGTTTACAATTAAGCTAAATATTTGGTATATGTTATTGAAATACAATGAATATAAACTGTATAAAGAGATGGAACTGTATAAAAATAAAGTATGTGAATTTGTATGTGACACCATAACCTACAGCTGTTACTTAGCTGTTACCGTTTAAATTTCTTATCTTCTCAAATCTCACCTTGATCCAAATTTCTAGACATTGTTTTAAATATTTAAATTTAAGGAACCAAGAAAAACTTTTTTTTTCATTTGCAAATGTCAGATGAATGTTCAGGAATAATGCATTAGCAAATGCATTTCTGTTTATACTCCTTTTATTTAAAAAAAATCATCACTCAAAAAAACCCACCATTCACAGAGTACAGGCAAGTGTTGCTATTGTTTCAAGTGTATTAAAAATGTGCAAAATAAAGTTATGAGGAATGTTGAGATAAAAAGGCTCTTATTCGATGGAGAAGTTCTTTCTTTACACTGTCTGGAACCAATGCTGTAAAATAAAATAATAATATATATAATATTATATAATAAAAAATATACAAAATGTAAAAATGGGTTGTTACTGTGGTAACATTCTGCACTAGTTTAGAATAAAAACATTAGAAAAAAATCTAGTCCTTCACAACATTAAGATATTACACTAAATGCACCAGTGTTGAAATGATTTTCAGTGGCTGTACCTCTCCCTTTTGGTGTGATCTCCACCACCAGGTCTTCCACTGTGACATGTTCAAGGCCTTTTTCCTTGATCACTTCTGCAAAAAAAAAAAAAAATTGTAACTAGAAACATGAAGCAGTTTAATTGTTTGATAAACAGGGGTGGTCCCCCCCCCCAGGTCTTCCCCTGGTGAATTTTCAAGGCCTTTTTCCTTGATCCCTTTTGCAAAAAAAAAAAAAAAAAAAAAAATTGTAACTAGAAACATGAAGCAGTTTAATTGTTTGATAAACAGTCTCACCTTTGCAGTGAGCCTTCATCTGGTCTTTCCATCCACACTCTGTGAGTTTTGATCTCAAAATCTCCTTCAGTCTGTCAGTAAGACAACAGGATGTATGACATTGTGACCGACTACAACAACTGACAGCTCTGGCAACACATGGTATATATAAGGGTTTGGTGTGTGTGGTGCTTAGTTCAGTTATTGTTTCGTTCCTACAATCTTAAAGTACTGTTTTCTATTGACAAGTTACATTTCCTGGAAAACCTTGTGATAATTGTGTAATACTCCATTCTATATGGCTTCTTAAGGGAAACAACAGCTAATCAGAATATGGATTTTTATTACAGGACCGAAGACTTGTGTGCAGATTTTAATTTCAGCTGCTGTAGTAGTGTCCCTTCAAAAGAAAATATACTCGCTAATAGACTTAAACACCTTAAGCATTGTTATAACGTTTAAATCCTAAAATACTATCGGATAATATATATTTTTATTACTATTATTAACTTGACACCACAAACACAACGTTTCTCACCTCTCTCGTTCGCCCATCTCTGTCAACTTCTGGTTTATATTTGCCTTCATCCTGGACTCTTTACTCATGGTCCGTTACCTACAGACAACGTGTAAGTTCAAAAACATTTCTAATTACAACGACTTGCATTGAAATGTCTAACACAACTTCAACTTGTAAGGTAAGAATAGGACGTTATTTATATCCACTTACAGAACAGCGAGGAGAGTGTAAACTCCGTCTCTACGACTCAACAGCTTTTGAACAAACACTATCAAATAAAAACCGAGTTAAAGGCAATGTAATCGTGAAAGGCGCACAGATAGTGTAAAATGTATAAAAGTTAAAAATGTGTCCTTTGTGGTAAAATCTTTGAAATTCTTGTTTCAAACTTGCGCCCAACTTAAGTTACAACGCTAACACTAAACAACTTAGCTGACCGTCATAAATTACCTTCCGGGCGGAACGAAATTCTTTCAACAAGGGTTCCTAGGCTCATTTGCATGCAGTACAACACAAAACCACACTGTGGCAGCGTTGGTAAATAAATATGATCTGTAATTAAGCGTCTTTGTCACTAAACATTTTTAAATTACAAAACAAAATGTTTCAGAAGCACCCCATTTGGATATTTTTTACAATGGAAAAACGTACTGAAATGATTTCGGGTCCAGTATTTGTCACCTCAATTAAATAATAACATATCCAAATATAGTTATTTATATAATTACACCAGAAATCGATTAAAGATAGCCAACCAATAACACAGTAGAAAGTCAGGAAAATAAATAGCTCAAATACAGATACAAAACTAGGTCCAAAAATATTTCTTACTTTTGCTTATGTTACACATCGTTGCATGCAAGATCGACTTACTTGATTTAAGAGAAAATGAAAGCATTGCTGCTCCGTTAGAACAGCTTTGTTTCTAACAGAGGAAAAGACGGGAAAGTTAGAAGGTTTGGGATTTTTTAAAACTGACAGCATTAAGATAAATCTAAAGATGAGTCTGCTACAGTCCACTGCATTATTAATAATTCAGAATTTTACCATGACTCTATAACAAGCATAAAGAGACCAGAACAAGACATCTTTATTATGAAAGATCCTTCTAAGCAGCCATCAGACTGGAGAGGGTCACCCCGTTCATTTAATTAACAGAACCTCTTTTTTGCATATATTTAAACTATTGTTTTAAGAAAAGTTAGAGGATAGAAGGGATGTGGTTCATTAAAAACCTGAAATGTCAAAATCCATGTTTTAGTCCCTGTCTGTCAATAAGAGAAAGTTGCCTGTGCTTTCTTTAGTTTTCAAGAGGGAAATGGCTTCCCCTCTTACATCGGCTCTTGCCAGACTGATTGATAACCTTTGCCTGATCCTGGAAGAGTAATGGCCTGCTCTGTGAGTGCACCTCTACCTGACACCTGAGTTAACCCTTCCGTCTGTCTGTGTGAACGTCTGGACTTTCAGTTAATGACCTGCCTCTCCTCTGTCAGTAAGCTGACACGGAGAGTGAAAAGTTAGTGTATGTTTTTTTTTTTATTGCTGCACGTTGTCATTTTTACAGGTCAGCCACAAACCGAGGTGTTAAAACCTCTCTTAAGTTTACTGCAAATACACGTATTGCCCCCCTCCTTCTCTCACATCTTATCTGCTCCCTCCCCACCCCCCTGTAATTGACATAGTTTCTGCCTATTAGCACAGTTATTTTAACTGAGGCAGCCCGGGGGCAGGTAGGGGGTGTAGAGTTGTGCTAAAACTTGTGCACTGTTCAATTTACACATGGATTAAATAAAACAATATTAATAATTTAATACTTCTCACCTAGAAAAAAGTTTCTAATTTACTCCAAGTGGAGCTGTTACTATATGAATGATGTAACAGGACCAAGGTGTAAAAAGTGAAGATGATTCTTCAGTGAGCGTTGTTTGTTGCCACAAGCCTCTCAGACCCTGCTGTAAAACTCTAAATTGAGTGCACGCATTAAACTGGCTGCTTTTATGGCTTTGCCTTCATGTTGACAACCATTTACACCCTTAGAATTAAATTCAGGGATGGAAAAGCTAATAATAGATCTATGGCGCTTCACTCTTGACATGATAATCAGGAAATACACTCAACTGAAGTAATGAGAAATACAAGGGGCGGCAACCTCCTGCCTTCTCCCCATAATAATCACTTTGAAAATAACCACTCTCTCTTCATCTAAATGATTGGAAGAGAGCATTTTTATTTTAAACCGTCTTTTTGTTTGCAAAAAAACAAAACAAAAAAAACAACAAAAAAAAAAAACACACATGCTGAATGAATCCCGTAATGTACTCATATCTTTGTTTCATCCTGTAAAGCTACGTTTATAGTTCTATTAACTTTTTGATTTGGAGTGGTTGTTACTAAACTTCATTGCAAAGTGAAAAAGGAGAAAGATATACGAGTCTCTGGTAAAGAGTTGGCATGGTTGCCGAATTCTACTTGGGTTTTAAGGCAATATTGGTATCAGTGGATATTTGCAGAAGCTCCGTGTATATGGATTTGACATCACCAAAGAATTAGGATTTCAAAATAGAATCCATGCATTCAAATCCAATATGAAGGCAGTGTCAATAACTGGTATTTTATTTTAGAAGAAAAGTTACCTGACACCTTGTTATTTGCAACTATCTAACATTTGCATATTCAGAACATTTAATCTCTAGTCTCGGTGTGTTTTTCTTTTATTACACTTACCCTCAGTTAGTTTCTATTGTTTCAGCTTTACCGCTTTATAACGTTGCCATAAAAGTTATGTTTTTTTTTTGGTCTGTGTCTAAGGGTTCTGCAGAATTCTTTTCCAAATGTGGTATCAAAAATATTCTATTAAAGAATATTGCAGAATCTATGATTTTACTTGTGGAGGCAAAGTAGTTGGTGATACATTGCTCCCTGTTGCCTATGCAAAGATCCAGTCATGGATCAAGTCTGAATATCCACATGTACTGTATGTTAACACAAGTTTACCCAGAATGGTCCTTTATCCTTCAGGGCCAGCTGGGTTTGTCCACAACTACTGAATGTGACTCCCTACAGATAATTGCTAACAGTAGAGGGGTGACACCAGATACATCTTCCATGTTCCCTTTTCCACATGCTCCGTCACACCAGTTTGGTCCATTAGTGGTTGTTTCTCTGTGCCATCTGTTCTCCAAGATCGGCCAGATCTCGACAAAGAACATTATTCTGCTGCTTCCAGATGATGCAGTACTTCCTTTGACTTCTGTGTTGGACTGTACATGCAGTGCTAAGAATATCTGATGAATTGTTGTCGGATGTTTTTTCTTTCAATTCAGACACATATTTTAACCACCTCAGTTCAGAGAAGCTATGTTCTTAAGGAACCTGACTACTGAGACTATAACGATTACTTACTGTATTTCTTCCTAGACTCATGGAACAAATGTGCTTCGCTGATGTGAAGGGGGAACGGTCATTTTCATTAAGGAAACATTTGGTTCACCCGTAAAAAAAATCTACAGAAAGCAAATTAATTTGTTCCTTATAGAGTTCTGAAAAAAATTCAAATTGAATTTTTGGAGTCTATCCAGTTTATGATGTGCTCTCTGTGCTGTAGCAGCACACCTGTGCTTCCACAGCAAATGCAACAGTGAAAGAGAAATTTAACAGCATTAACTTTCACGCCTCAGCAGCATGATACTCCAGAGGAGGATCAGTGTGTGGGTGTTTGTGAGAGTGTGTAAGTGTGTGTGATGCAAAATGACTGAGACAAACAAGAAAACAGACCTCTGCTGCTGAGCGTTATAATCACCCATTGTTATGAGTGCAAGAGTGTAAAAAGGAATGGTTGGAGGGCCCAGCCAAACGGAACCTGGAGAGAGTAAAGAAAGCTGGGCAACCTCAGCTTAATTAAACGTTTTCCAAAATAATTTTTCAACACTGTTCTCGGCGGGTCTTTAAATCCTTAAAGAAATTATTCTTAATGTAAATATATTAATCAGCTTCTGGAGCTTTTACGCATTATCACCACCAACATAATTTATAGCCATATTAGATCAATTTACCCTCATCAAATATAAAAACCATAATATAAATACCATTATTATTAAATTTGGTACATTTTCACCTTCTTAAAATAAAAACTAATAATCCAGTGTTGGCTATAAAGAGCAAACCCAAGTTTTTTTGTTCTTCCTCTTCCTGTCGCCTGATGAGTGGGTGGAAGAGGGTGGTCCCTGCCTCCCTTTGGAGAACAAAACCCCTCCAACACATCTCCTCTACGTGTGATTATGGTAACAAATATTCTTATTGCCCCTTCATTACTGAGCTCGGAAAAACCCGGACGTGGGTGAAGACCCTTTGAAGTATCATTGTGCCACAGCTGTTGGTGCTGCTGAAGAGAGGAGGAGAGGAGAAGAGAGGAGAGGAGAGGAAAGGAGAGGAAAGGAGGGGAGAGGAGAGCAATCTGTACATGATCTTTTAACCAGAAAGTATAAAATAATTCCATCGTCTGCTACTCTATTTATGGATGTGCCCCTGGGTAAGACACTTGGTCAGGTCTTGAGTATGAATATATGGAAATATAACATTTGAGAGAGAAGAAATGTATGAAAAAATGCATAGCGCATTATCATTCAGGTGAAAATGTAGAGTCATGACAAACACCCGGCTCAGTCATAGGTCACACAGACAATATAAAACAGTAAATAACAACAATATAAAATATGAATTGTACCAGGGCAGTGATTTATCAGCAGCTCTGTCACCATCACTGATACAACGAGACAGAGGCAGTTATCATAGTGTCAGCAGTGATAAAGGTCCTCAGCTACCGACTGGATATGCTGTCACAACTCAGCATTCATCATCACGCTGATGAGCTTCACAGTCCGACTCTTCAACAATGTAACTGTGGTGTAGAATAAGAAGAAACCGTCTAAACGTCTGTTTCTTCATCCCCTCGGTCAATTATCGCCTCTTTTTGCATTATTGAATTCGAACATTAGCACATGTGGAATCCCTTAAACACTTAGGGAGCTGATAAATCTGACGTGATTGGGAATTTGGAAACACATTCTCACTGGAGATCACGGCAGCTGGACATTGATTGATGGCGGTGAGATGCCAAAGACAGATAGCACAAATGTAATTAATGTGCTAAATGTTGTCACACCAGTCCCAGTCCCTACTCCATTGTTGTTTTATGCTAAACACAACAACAACAACAACATTGTCTGTACCCACCGGCCCCTGTGTTACTGCCTAAAGTGAATTTCTCTGTGAATGTAATAATCACTGTATCTAAGATATTGCAAGATAGTTATAACATATGCACCAAATGTGCACTTACTGTATTATGAATGAAGTAGAAATAAAACATGGAATTACATTTCAGGGATGTATTTTTTTATATATATTAACTTAGTAAACTTAGTTGTGTTAGATGTATCTTTCAAGTCCCAAACCGAGTTTAAGAAGGTTTAGGTCAACACCCTGAACGAGCAAACACAGTGGAGACTCAGGACAAACAGCAGCTTCCATTTATTGTTGACGTGGTGTTTTCTGGTTTAAACTGTTTTTTTACCAGGAATTAACAGGTCTGTGTAGGTGGGTGTTGTCCACAATATGGCTTGTGTTTCTTGGGAGTTTGTTTTGTTTTTCATTAGTGCACTTTTAATTTTATCAGTGGAATTATCCACTTCTGTATCACTTTTTTTTTTTAATTTCCTGCAGCACTGGCTCAAGAGGATTGCAGCTAATTGTTTCTTTTAACTACTTTCAGGCAAAATCCAGGATCATAACTGTTTGTTTATTAAATCGTTATCACCAAGTACTGTCCTCTTTGTTGTGATGTATCTACACTTGAATTTGCTCTCCATCATGTTGCCACACTAACTGTTCAGCAAACAGCATTACTGAGAGTGCAACACAGACAGATGTGGAACAGTACTGTCCTTAATGTTTGTTCCTTCAAAAAGGGAGTTTCATTTATTTATTTATTTTATTATATAAAACTTCCAGTAATATTTTTTGGTGACATGCTAGGCATGAGATTTGGTAGATTCTCTTCTAATTGTATTAAGAAAAAACAACAGATTTTTTTAAGGTTCAGTTTTACAAATACCTGTTCATTTGTTTGTTCTTGTTTTTAATGAAAACCTACTGACGAGATGCATAAAAGATCTAGTAGGAACTTTAAATTCTAATAAGCTTCTTAATTATCAATGTGGAAACCAATTACAGCAAGTAGCCCTAAAACAGTATTTATAATACATCATGACTTTCACTTCCAGGCCTGTTAATATGTACACATTGTCTCTGTGTAGATGTGGTTTTAATGGAGAAAGGCTACTTCAGTTCAAGACCACAGAAGGCTGCAAGGATTACCTTTAGTTTATTTATTTATTTATTTTTACTTAAAAGGAGCTGCATATTATTTATTTATTTATTTTTACTTAAAATGAGCTGCATAAATGAAGCTGCTTCAAACGTCCTTTAACATTTACAGCAATACAAAAAACAGTAAGTGCAGACAGAGTCAGAATAAGTAAAAATGTAGTAATAAATAGAAAACCCATTCAGATTTCTCAAAGGAACATAAAGATATTCTATTTTATGCATCAGCAAGATTCAAGGTATAAAATGCAAAGTCAGTGCAGTGTTCAGAGTATGACTTAATAAATATTGTTTAAAAAAGAAGAAAAACAAAATCATTTTATAAAGCCTATAAAAAAGAGTAGAAAAGTTAACTTTTGGACTCAGATCCTTGTTCAATAGTTTAGGGTGAATAATTTAAACATGTTGGACCAAGTTTAGCAGCAGACCAATAACTACTGATCTACAAAGCCTCTGAGGCTAATTTTACATCATCAAACAGTGACGACCAGCACTGGTAACAGAATAAAAACAAGGAATAAAGTTAGAAGTAATTCTAGTGGTTCAATTACTGAGATGCAGACATTTTCAAAAACAACTGGAGGTGGAATTGTTAATATCTTGTCTCTTATTATATCTTTAGAGGTTTAAACACACTGTCTGAAGTCATAACTCATTCAAACAAGCATTTTATTTAGGAGACAACCATCACTCCTTTCTAAAATGATCAGATGGTTATTTATTTTTTCAATGTTTAAAAAACAACCAGGCTTCCATATCTGTTGAGTTTTTGCATAAAAGTCCAACAGATATTACCGCTCAAATGGTCAATCGGGTGATAACAGTACATTTGAGTGTCATCTGCATAGATGTGGAGGGAATCAGAGACTGAGAAATGACTGTGATAATTCTAAATGTCTGAAGACTGAACTTATTACCAAAGTTAGGACAGGACTGAGAAGAAAGCTCAGCTTTATACATATAGTAAACAGACAACAAAATGTGGTTGGGACAATCCTTTTACCATTTAGCCACAGACTGCCCTTAAACCACCGGATTACAAAAGCATACAAATTAGGGTTTACAATACCACATTCCTGGGTCCACTGAGATCGTCATGGTGGTCGTCAGTGGCGACCGGAGGGAAGATTTTGATTAACAATTGTCTCTAGGTAATTGTCAGATATGTTGAGACGACTACTGGCAATGACACAGTACAGACAAAAGGATATTCACCCAGAGTTTGTCCCACCTAAATCTGGTCAATATTTAAATATCCTCTTGCAAACCTGTTGCTTGTGGCTATATATTTTCCAGATTCCACCTTAAATGGCTTATCTTAATGCTGGTTTAATTTTCTCTTATTTGGGCCAGGTCCATGGCCAGCTTGTGGCCAAGCAAGTCACAAAAAAACATGATTCCACATACTGTTTGTTGACCCTAACAAAACATCTTCTGAGCCAGAGCTGGGTCAATAAAAGTCCAGGCCCAAGTCGGGTTTCAAGTTGGCAAATGAGTCTTCCAGAACCAGCACAAGAACTGGGCAGAAACATCTGGTCCTCCTTAATTTATCCACTGGAACATCATGGATATTTGGATGAAAGTGTCCATCCTTATCTTCAGTCCTGACAGATCACCTCTCTCGAAGTGACAGTCCTAAACTGCTTTATTTGACAAGGGTCTTTCACAAACCAACAGCCAACCAACCCAGTTCAAGAACTAGTTTTTTTTGTTTTGAAAACTCAACCATAGTCTTATAAATTATTAGATGAATCTATAAATGATGTACATCCTATGAGGTTTGCTGGTAAAAAACAAACAAACAAACAAAAAACAAAAAACAAAACTTGAAATCTACAAATACAACTTCAACCTTCTTTCATTTTTCTAAGGCAGCATTAAATAATGATCCTATGTCATTTCATGAGAATGAAAGAACACTGGCCAATAAGATTCTATATTTCCTTATGTCACGACACTGCATCAGTGGCAGTCGACTGTACATGTATGGAATGTGCACACTGTCCTTTCCACATTGTACATATTTACATCCAACTCTGATATTCATCCACTCCCACTCCTTAACTAGTCTTCTCTATATTCCACCTCACGGTTTGAATCAAACTGATGTGTGTGGACATGTTGACCCCTGTGTCTGCCAATCATTTGTGCATTCTCTGCAGAGGTCCACACCGCAGTCCTTCGGCATTTCATCATCCTCCTCTTCCTCTTTCTCCTCCTCCTCCACCCCCGACACCTTCTCCTTTTTCGCCTTCTTCCTCTCTTCTTATGATTCTTTCCCGTATGCTTTCTCTTCTTTCTTTCCTCCACACTGTAATGGCTAACCTGACTGGCGTCATTGGACGTGAGCGTAACGTAGCTGTCGTTGTCGCCATTTTCCTCGAAACCCTCATTCACCTGCTCCTCCTCGCCGGCACCGTCCTCCCTAAAGAATACAAGAGGCTCGCTTTCCAATTCCTGCTCGTACTCTTCCTTCTCCTTTTCCTTCAGCCTCACATGTGTTGATTGTGTAAACGCGGAAATCTGCTGAAGAAGTGTGTAAGAGAGCGGCAATGGGCTGCCGTACACCTGCAATGATAAAAATGAATGTTGCCAAACTGTGCAAATGTACAAAGATTTGAAGTTGGAAGACGTAAAAAGAAAACATTTACCGCTTTAGCACGAAAAGGCACAGAGCAGAAGTAAGGAAGCTCAAACGTGAAGCTGTCCTCGGTGCACTCATCGTCAGCAGACTCGTCTTCTTCACTGGTGCTTCCATTATCAGTGGCATTGTGTTCTTCGATGGGCTCTTCAGGCTGGTCTTCCTCAAAGGACTCTGAGGATGTTTCAAAGTGGTCTGCAGAGAAGGTATCAACATTTATATAACTTACAGTCCATCATCTCCCCAGACGACAGTACAGACAATTGTTGGCCTTCCAAATGTCCAGAAAATAAAAGAATACTGGACCAAAAACGAGCCACATGGATGACTGTGTCACAATGCATAAGACTGACATCCAGGTTTTAAAAAATGGACGTACTGTATGTCACTCTGCAAATTATTATTATTATCATTATTATTATCATTTTATTAATGATAATATCAAAAAGGGTTTGGTCAAATATAAAAAAATCTTTAAAAAGAGCAAATGTTGTTGTCATTGTTGTTATTGATGAGATTATTCAAAATGACTACATTAAACATAATTGTCTCTTGATTTAATTATCATAATTCTCTTGAGGTCGGTCGATCGTTACCAGGGGAAATACACAGGCACGATGAGTAGCAATTTAAATGATTATTAGAGCCAATTTTCTGTTGTTGAGTTTGAAGTGCATTGATGTAAAACATTGATGTCATCAGTCAGTCAGTCAGTCAGTCAGCCTGGTATGTGTTCTCTTACTTTCATCAAAATCAATGTCCTCCTGGAGTTCAAATATAGGGTCCTGATCCAGAAGACTGTACCACTCCACCTCCTGGAAGAACGGGTGGATCTTTAGCTCGATGGCCCCTCCTGGAAGGGATGAACAGAAATTTGGTTTTACTCTGTTGGTTTTACTAATACTTGTGTCTGTAATTTAAAGCTGCAGCTCACTCGTTCCCAGACGCTTCATCACATCAATGTTGAGTAGTGTGCTGATCAGGACCTTGGCATCATCGGGGACAATCCTTCGTTTGTTCGGCCAGAGAAGTTTTTCTTTAAAAAGTAGTTATGAAAAGAAAATTCAACTTTTACTCCATTATTCATTTATTTTTCTTATATCTTCTGCTGCTTCGTCCTTTTCACGGTCACAGGAGAGCTGGAGCCGCACGAGTATTCTGTTCAAGGTAAATTCTGCATTTAAGCAGGATTTTAAACTAGTGGTAATATAATACTGCAGGAAGCCATTTGTGTTCACGGCCAAACATTAGTAACAAGAAGGTGGCTATATTTATTTATTTATTTATGCAGTACAACTTCTACAACTGTGTGTTTTGAGTAACGAAATAAAGCTATGATTCTTACTTGTGACCACCTGATGTAAGATGTCTTTGAACCTGGTTCCTTGATATGGACAACAGCCAACGAGGAACTGGTACAGAATAATTCCCAGAGCCCACCAGTCCACGGGCTTCCCATAGGACATTCCCAGGATCATCTCTGGAGCTGTGTACCTCGGAGTACCGACAATCTGGTAAAAGATTGAACAGTGTAGAAGAGGAAAATAATCACTTATGTATAAACCACGACAAATAAGTCCTATCAGGTGGAGAGTACAAAAACGAACCAGTCCGTCAGTGAACTCTTCAATGATCTTTGAGAGCTGCTCTTCATTCATCACTGCTGTGAACTTGACTGGACCCATCCTGGACAGGCCGAAATCTGCTACTTTGATATGACCTGTGTAGGTCAGCAGAAGGCTGCAGAAAGACGACATCAGAGTTATTCCATGTTATTACTCTTGTCCACATTCATACAGTGAAGGAACAAGAGTACCACAACCCACAGCAACAATGGGTAGTAGTGAAGAGTGAGTGCTCACTTCTCTGGTTTGAGGTCTCCGTGCAAGATGCCAAAACTGTGCAGATATTCCAGAGCCAGTACGACCTCTGCTGTATAAAACCGTGCAACATTCACAGGAAGGACTTTTCCCTGATTGAGTAGGTTTTCACAGTTTCCACCTACAAGATCAGAGACGGCATTGTGACTAAGGTCCTGGGAGTATATCCGGATTACTGTTTGTATACACTATTCCACAATTTTTCCAGGACATCCACAGATGTTCTCTCACCTGCCACATACTCCATTACAATACACAAGTCTGCGTCCGTTTCAAACGTGCAAAACAGGGAGACAACAAAGGGGTTGTCCGTGAAGGTCAGGATGTCTCGTTCAAGCAACACATGCTGCACATCCAGCTCTCTGGTCAAACTCTGCCTTCTGATTGTTTTCATAGCGAAAGCCTGACCGGTCTCTGTGTGGGTCACAACTTTGACAGTCCTGTCCAAAACAAAAATACACAAATGGAAAACTCTTTGAGAAGATACAGCATCTTATTGTTGTCTCACCCTTGTTCCCTCTGTAGCCATAACTGGACTATGAATGAGGAGTCTGCCATCAGACTCCTTAAAGGGAATGGACAATAACATTACTTTTGCACATACCAAATTTGCACATCCACAAGTGTTAACTACTGCACATACAAGTGTTAACTACTGCACTTTACAAGTATTAACAATTGCACACTGTAAATACTGAAAAGACTTCTGTTGATTCATGTGTATATTTTGTTATTTTATTCCTGTGCATATTTTGTTATTTTTATTTCTTGATTTCTTTGGCATTCAGTGTGGACAGCAAAGTAAAATTTTTGTTGTACAGGGAAACCTGCTTTCCTTACTGTACACATGACAATAAACGCTTTGAATCTTTGAATCTTGAATCTTGAATCTTTGAAGAAATGTCTCACCCAAAGCTGCCTCCGCCAATAGTGTTCAATATGTCAAAGTCATTTAAATCAGGTGTTCTGAATGGGGGATTCCAGGCAGCCCGGGTCTGAGTCGGACATGGAAATGGATGTTATTAAAATATTATGTGTAATGATACACAAGATGTGAGAAAAAACACATTTTAAAGCACTGTACAGACAGAAAAATTGCATTAGGACTTAAGTGGCCATGTATGTATATAAATACATTTTTTGGTCAATATGCTGTACTATTATCGATGTGTTATATGATCACTTAAAATAAGTTCCTGCTTTGACCGGTTACATCAAATTTAGAATTGTGTAAGATTAGATTTTTAAATGAATCAGCGGAAATATGGTCATGATGAAAGAATATGATTTGAAATAAATTCACCAATATGATTACCTGACTATAATTAAGTCACCAGTAGTGTGTGAGTGGCCCTGATGTTTTATTAGCAGTCATATTTTCTCCCTAATTAGTTGGTGTGAAACACGTCAGCATCTTGGTGCCAACATTCTTGTGCCTGAGAGTCACACACCTCATGGAGCAGCTTCTCCAGTTTATCCTGCAGCTCCATAAAGAAGGGTCCACTGACCATGTCATTAGAGAGCACAAAGTCACAGTCTTTGGACAGTTCCAGCAGCTGGTGCTGGATGAAGTAGAGGGCGTTGATGGCCTGGCTGAGGTCACTGTCGAAATATTCTTCCTCTGAATCTGATTTGTCTGAAGATTAGACACAGTTGGGGGAAAAAAGCACAGTTAAGAGTGTGGGTGTGGGTGTGGGGTGGTTTTGTCGGTGGTGATGGTGTTTAAATGAGGTAACTCTGGTGAAATACATACATAAAGTCTCTGAATCGTATGAAGACAGTAGCGTGGACAGTTCTCCGCTTCCCCCTTGTGAGGAGACATGTAAGCTAGGATTCTGTGAAGACATGACTGGGAGTGGAGACGTGAGAGAGAAAGGGTTCAAGTCAAAAAATAACCAAAAGTTTGACATTTCACATCACCATAATCATTCATTCACTGATTTATGAAACCAAAGTTTATGTCATGTCATTTCCTTTTCTAACGTGAATGTCTGTGGAAAAAATAAATAAATTGAATTTAACTTTTAGATAGACTATGGAATCTCAATAACTTTTTAAAAAATGATTTTTGAGTTAAAGCAAAGAAAATGTTTATTTTTTTACTTTAGTCACAATAATCCATTGCTTTACAACAGGTAAACATAAGTATTTCATATACTATTATTCATATATTGCATATATTTAAGAAGATATATATTTTGGGGGGAATTTTATTGGTTAAGCTTAGTTCTTCAAGTCATAGTTTTATTTCACACAAGCTTGTTTAGGTTAATATTGATTGTTTTACTTAAAATAACGTAATACTCACGTGCAATTGTTGACTTTCAATAAAATATATTAAAAACATTAAATAATTAAACATGATTGACTCACTGGTTTTCCCCGTGGAGATCACTGAAAATTAAAATTTTACCATAAAATATATTTTTTAATAAAAAACCAATTATTTACAGACAGCAGTCCCTTTGTTGACAAAGATAACGTGTGCCTGGGACACGCAACAACTTCATACCGAAAATACATGATTTTTGCTTCCTTTGATGATTTGTAACTTTGTTCGCAAAATTTGATGATGTAATCAGTGATGCTCTGTGATGTCATTCAATGTGTAGGTGGGTTTACTATATCTTAACATGACAAACAGCTTATATGTCATCAATGTCCAGCTTGTTTTTTAAGGACCAATGATAATGTTGATGTAGCAACAACTGAGGTCGTCCATGACTGGAACCAATCCATCCATCCATCTATTTTCATCCGCTTATCCGTTACCGGGTCACAGGGGCAGGAGTCTCCATGACCGCCACCCAAATCACACTGCACCGTACCAACCCCCCTGAACATTCCTGCAGGTGGTGAGTCCACTGGAAGGTACCAACCACCCTAACAGGGATTTGATCTTGCCCATGAGGTGAACCCTGGGATTCCACATCAGTGACAGAGACATTGCCTCTGGGTCAAAGCACCACTGGAACCAATCATATTAAAATCTGCTGTTTTTGAGCAGCTGCCAGAAATTAGTTCACCAGGACATGAAGGTCAATCATTTGTTTTAACACAGGTAAATGCTTTCAACGGCCTCACCTACCTCATTTGTCCTAGATGTGTACGGCATTGTTATCAACCAAAATAGAATAATGGAATTCAAAGCCATTTCTAATCAATTTCAGAGCAATTTTTGATCTTGTGTCTTCAACCACCTATATATACATGTTAAAATGTGTGTGTATATATTTGTATATTTAGCGTTTCATCTTTTAATTAATTTTTTAAAATATCCTAATATGTTCTATTCTGTATGTTGGTTCCATGAAGATTTATTTTTGGTTGGCAGCATATTTAGAAACATTTTTTTATTATCATATGAAACAACTTGACCACAGCCTGCTTCATGTTCTATATAAAGGGAGTTTGACACAATGTTTAGTTCTGTCTGAGTATTAACATCCCCAGGTCAATAAAACGCCTTTATGTTTGAACAAAGCTAAAAAGCAGTGCACGTGTGAACACACTGTTTGTAGTCTCTCAGATATGTTGGACAGTATGGCCAGCGCTGCTGCTCTGAAGGTAAAAACAGAATTGAAAACACACTCTGCTTTAGTGTTGATCTTGTGTGTGGTTGATGTAAACTTTCATCAGAAAACAGCCGACAGACTTAGCTTTGGATGGGACTGATGTCAACAGACATGAAAGATTCTCCATCACATCAAAGTTAATTATAGATCCACTCTCATCAAAGGGCTGTTGGACAGCTCTGGCCATTCTGTGAGAGTGTATGTTTAGGAGCATGGCTGTGCATACATTAATGGCCATGCATACATTTACATCCTCTCACACAGATGCCTGAAGGGCCTTCAGTTTGTCCAACCAGGCTGATCGACTCCGGTGCATCCTAACAACCATCTGCCTCTTGTTTATCACAGCAGGTCACTGCTGTAATTAGGACCTGTGCATCAGGTGAACTGTTTGAAACACCACTAGTGTTGAATTTCACAGTCCGTATGAGAGATGCTGATGTCCTGTTGGACGCTGCCTTGTATGATATGAAGCCACTGAGGGTCAAGAACCAACAGCCTGCACAATATGGCCTGGTAAAAAGAAATGTTCACACGTGTGTTGGCTTGAATGCATTACCAATCAGACTTGGCACTGTTAAGGACCATTTCCATTCACATCATGCTATGATGAGCCACTCTCGGCTTTCCCTGAGAGCTCAGAGTGGCTGCACACTTGCTGAGATATTGTTGCAGAAATCCATTTCCAGAGCCTCCTAAATCTGAGCAGACATCCACGCTACCTGCACATTAAAAAACTTCAGTCCTCCACTTACTCCTGTCATTTCAGGTTATGTGTTAGGATATTGATGGTGACATTTCATTCATGGGATCCAGACTGCACGACATGGGGTGGTGGGTAATGGACTGGATTCAGTGCTAAACAATGCTAAAGGAGAAAATTGACGATCGTTGTTTAGAAGAGGTGTATGTTTGTGCAATGATCTGAATTACCAAGACATTCACTTCATGGTTATTGTGAAATTCTGTTTTTTACACTTTTGATGTTTCATTTTTTCCTTGTCTCCAGAAATACTGCTTGATCTCAGGTGTGAAAGAAACAATAAATTTCAAATGTAAAGCTTAATGCCATAGTTGCTGTTCAAGTCTTTCCTCTAAGACACCGAGACAGCTGGTGCGTGACGATTAGGTCACTGGCTTAAAGATGCAGCTAAAGCAAGGCATCAGCCTGTAGTGTCATAAAAAGAGCCACATTGAAAGCACCAGTAAATCCTGTTTTTATCAGGTCTATGTATCAGACGGTGCTGCCTGCTGCTGAGCGTCACCTCAGATTTCTTCTCTTAAAACGGTTGTCTTCTTGGGGACTAAAATATGCAGAAAAAAACAAAGTATTTTAATTCTACATTCTTTAAAGTCCTGGAAAATCAAAACAATATAAATGAATTATGTAACACCCTGCACAATCAGTTTTCAACATCTTTGAGTCAAGAGTTATTTTCAGCATTTTTCCAACTTTACCATAGCAATGCATTTCTGTATTTAGCACATAAACCCAGAAACTGTTAACAGGTTATGTGGTCAGAGGATAAAAAAGAAAAGAACTGCAGCTTTACATAAATAAATTCAAAGCTGGATCAGCAGACAATGTTTTGATGTCAACCCTGTGACTTTATAGGTTTCTGCTGTTGCACAATGGAAACAGATTCTTCGTCTGTTTGACAGTATTTATGTCTGTTTCTTCGCTCATTTATCTCCTCTCTACTAAAAGATGTTGTTTAGAATTTTTTTATCTGTCAAACTGAGATAAGTACAAGTATTTTGTGTACTCTGAGCATCGTCACATTAGACAATATGTCAATGAAGCTCAAAATAAATAAAACTGCTACAGTAGATAACACAGCCAACTGAACAGATTGTGGACAGTTCCTACATTTTTACAATGTAAATTTCCATTGAAAACACTGTGTTGAGGTAAACAAAGTGTCACTTCAACTGAGTGTCACGACACCCATGTTTCAATGAATACATTTATACACACAATATTGGTTAGATACTGGTTCTTTTCACACTTCAGCATGGGTTTTGTTAAAATGCTCTTATCGAAACCGAACAAATCTCACAGTAAGCCCTGCTCCTGTCTTTGTACCTGATGTTCAAATACCTCCAAACTGCTGATATCTTTTGGCCTACTTAAATAAACTACACATGACACTGAACTGAAGGAGGAGAACACACCAAACTGTCTGACCAGGGCACAGCTGGTTAAAGTCAAACGCTATTATGGACTATCAGGTCTCTGGATCGGAGTCTTTGTGTTTGAATTTCAATCCATCGTCAGGTCAGATAGTGATGCATCTGCACTTTGAGGTGGTAATGAGATGAAATTAGGAATAATCTAATGCACAGATAAACTAACATGGTGATGGTAATAAGATAATGACCGTGTGTCTTTATGTGTTTGTGAAAGATAGCTGCAGCAGTGAAAGAAGGTTTCACGTCAGAAGAAAAAAATAAATCAAAGCTCTTTTTCACTGGAAAACACCAAGATGCAGAGGATTAGAAATGAGAAGATAAAGAGAGAAAACTGGTAAAGAAGATGCAGAGGATTAGAAATGAGAAGATCGGAGAAACTGGTAATATTGAGCAGTTTGGAGGTCAGAGAGACAAGGTGCAGATAGAAAAAAGAAAAAAAAAGAGGATGTTAAAGATAAAGTAGCCCGGGAGCAAGAAAAGAGGAAAATGGCAGACAGTTATGGACGCAGATGATGAGCTGTGAAGAAGTGAGTGGAGCATCTTCAAGGAAGCAGGCTTTCAGCCAGTGGTTAATGTCACAGACTGTGAATGGTAGAGGGTCTTTTGGCAGTTGTCTCTAACACTTGATCTGTTCTTGACTTGGGTCATTTGCAATCAAACTGCCACATTTACATATAGAAGAGTGGTTGCCAGTCTGGATCAAATTGGAGCAGCAGAGAGTCACTGGGATCAGTCCTTGACACATCTGTTTATGTTGATGCTTTTCAGCAGTGCAATCCTGTTTGCTGCTACAATCAGAGCAGAGTGCACTCTCCACGTTAATATATAATTATATACGAGTACAAGCTATTCTATTTCACTGACAGAAATTGATTTAAAGTCGTTGATTCTAAAAATTCTTTCTTATATTACTACAGTCTAATTTGTAGTTGGTTTTTACCTTTTCAACAATTTCAAGCTAACGTGCTAATTGCATTGTGTCACACTGTTAAAACAAATACGTGTTCAGTCCTACACCTTCTCATGGTTATTCTCACAACCAATTTGTATTTGGAGAAATTAGCCATCAACATGGGGTTCACAACCCCTAAGTGGTCCGTATAGCTAGTGCATTGGGTTCACTGAGTTGTAGATCAAAAATAATTATTTCTCAAATACTTTTATTGGTCTGCTCATGTTTATTATTTCTTTTCTTTTTTTCTGGTAATTTTTTCATAAATAATCACTGTAGCTTATACAAATAAACTATTTTTAATCCATTTTTGTATTCTAAAGCATAATGATGACAAATATATATTCTACATATTAGAAGGGGTCAATGGTGTCAAGTTGAAGAACAAAAGTGTGAGGAGGATAATCAGAGCTCCAGCAGCCTCTCAGCCCCTGACCCCTCTGCCATTACTGTTTCATCCTATTGTACACCACAGTGACAAGCCCACATCTCCTCAGGATTAGCGGTGAAAATGTGACAGTTGATTTACAGCAAAAATGAAGCCAAAAGATTGTGGAGGGTTTAACTCTTTAACATCAGATATACAGCACCTAATGTAAATGTCAAACTTCTGTAGAGGAACCTGTGACGTTAAGGTGACGTGCACTCTCTCATTATAGCACTGGAAAATATCTGGAAAACAATTAAATTCATCATACTCTGCTCTGGAGTGGTGCTGTTAAAAACATCGACATTTCCACAGGATGAGGTTTGAAGACTGCTTATATATCGATCAAAGAACTGCAGTTGAAATCTTCACTAATGCTCGTCGGCCCCCACGGCAGCCTGTGGATCTCTACAGTGTGTTTTGTGTGGTCAGTCTGCAGGGCACCGGCGTCACCGGGGTTTACTGGTGGCTGACATTTCTCTTATCACGACATCCAGTTTGTCTCAAACTGAGGAGAGGCTTCCCTCCAACCAGTCCCTGCTGAAAAGGACCGGCAGATTCCACAGCTGGAGAGCTTTCTGTCATCACTGCTCTGTCTATAAGGTAAAAAGGTCTTCCTGGGGGGAAAGTGGTCCCCCAACCTCTTTGTATCACCGACCAGTTTCAGT